CTGAACCTGGTGAGGTGCTGGATTACTTGGACCAGGCAGATTCATGACTGTCTGAACCGGAAGTGGTTGATTCTGTGGCTCTAGCCCCACGGCTAGAGGAACCGGTCCAGGTCCTGCTGTCTGAGGTATGGCATTTGGAAGGTAGCTCTGGACTGGATAGCCTAGTTTAAGACAAAAATTGAGAGTGAAAGGGAAAACCTCGAATGTTCTAATATTCAAGTTAGTATAGTAACATAACATCTGTCCTTTATGTGCCAGCATTTGTATTGATGAGATATGTATTATATTTGAAAATATTCATTGTCTATTTTGAAAAGCAGAGCCTTTTAGTTACACATTTGAACATCTAAATGTTATGTATCACTCAATTTAAATTTATTGTATGTTTACCTTTATACGGCTGAATCATGTAAGGCACTGCATTAATTGGAACAGACGGATTCATGACGGGCTGAACTGGAGGTGGTTGATTATCTGGCTGAAGCCCAGCAGGTGGAGGAGCTGAATCAGGACCTTAAAGAGAGTGAAAATCTTAAACTTTCTAGCTAGTATAGTATCAAATATTCATCTGTTTAAAACACTATTTGAATTATTTGTGTATGTAATCTGGATTACTAAATAACAGCAAAGTAAATTTAGTACAGCCTAACTATCATGCTGCTAAGTTTAATTTCCTTCCGACTTTAGAAAATTAGAAACACTTAGATATACACAGTGTTGGGGAGTAACTAGTTACATGTAACGGAATTACGTAATTTAATTACAAAATAAAAGTAATTGTAATCAGTTACAGTTACTGAGAAAAAATGTGTAATTAAATTACAGTTACTTATGAAAATGTTAAAGATTACAAAGGGGGTTACATCTGCTTTTTTTCCACACACACTCCCACATAGAGATTTAATTGATTTCTTTCATAAATTGCAGTGACTGCTCTAAAATATGAAACACCAATGTTTTAGGAGTTTAGAACATGCTTTTTTGATAACTCTTTTATTTCCTATATGGGTTTATGTATAGCTATGCTTCATTTTTTAAAGATTAACTGTTTTTTTCCAAAGGCATTGTTAGATTCCAGTGTTTACTGTCATAGTTATGTAAAGATTTGATTTCAAAAACAGTATAATAGCTAATAAAATATTTCTTGTTATGATTTTAAATATGTATTTAACCTCAGAATGATCTCAAAGTAACCTGGGATCACCGCAGAAGCTGTGGCAAGTGAGGTTCTTCTCTCTCTGGGTGAGTCTATGTTAGCTGTCAAGTTGAAGGAGTTGGACCTCCTTATAAGAAAGCAGGAGTGTGAAGGGCGAAAGATCAGGCTTTGTGCTATAGAGGCACAAGCAGATAGGGATATTAAGATGCATCAGTTAGATTTGCGTGCTCAGGAATTAAATCGAAAACCAGTTCCTATGCCTCGCTCTAGACTCTCCTCTGCTTTATCTCCCTTGATTTCACCTGCTGTTGTTGTACCTCAAATTACTGATAATGCAGCTTCTGAGCCGGATTTTGATGTTGGCAAGTATCTTAAACTTGTACCCCCATTTAGAGAAGCAGAAGTGGATTCGTATTCCATTGCCTTTGAACGGGTTGCTATGAAATTACGGTGGCCAAAAGATGTGTGGGCTCTTTTGTTGCAGTGCAGTCTTTCTGGTAAAGCGCAAGAGGTTTGCTCCACCTTACCAATAGATCAGTCCCTTGACTATGATGTAGTAAAATCTGCCATTCTGAGAGGGTTCGAGTTGGTGCCCAAGGCATACCGTCAAAAATTTAGATCACATGTGAAAACGGCCAAACAGGCGTTTGTCGAGTTCGCGAGGAAGAAAACCCTTTTAGAGAGATGGTGTCTCTCCAGCAAGATCACGACTCTTGATCAGCTTCAAGAGCTGTTCTTGCTGGAGGACTTCAAAAGTTGTATTCCGGAAAATGTTGTTGTCCATTTAAATGATCAGAAAGTTGCAACCCTTTCCGATGCCGTGGTTTTGGCCGATGAGTTCGTGTTGATGCATTGGAATGTTCCCCCCAGCACGTCGTGTTAATGTATCCCCTTCCGTTTGCGAAGTATCTGATAGGGAAGCGACATGTGTTTTCTCACGCACTTGCAAAGGTGAGGCCCAGTCGAGTGTGCGCCGTAAAAATGCTTTAAGTGATAAGCGAGCTTGCTTTTATTGTCTTGATCCCAGTCACTTAATTTCTGACTGTAAGGCATGGAAGCAAAAGAATCCCGCTCCCAAATCTAAAAGTGTTGCACTCGTACACCCCGCATTTGAGAAAAGCCACACAACCACTACATCCTATCAGCCTTTCCTCCTGACTGGCTCCGTGTCTCACTCAGTTGATTCTGAGAGTACACCTGTCACCATTTTGAGAGACACTGGGTCAGTTCAGTCATTTATATTAGAGGAGTTATTGCCCCGGTCTACTGAGACTTACTCCGGTACAGACGTGCTTATACGTGGAACTGGAATGGAGTGTATAAACGTTCCTCTTCACAATGTCTACTTGAAATCAGACCTCGTAACAGGTACTGTAAAACTTGGTGTACGTTCACAGCTTCCTGTCGAGGGGGTGGGCGTTATTCTGGGAAATGACCTCGCAGGGGGTGAAGTTTTTCCCCGACCAATTGTGGTCCATAACCCTAGCGTGTGTGAGCAACCTGACCTAGCACGTCAATTTCCTTCAGCTTTCCCTGCATGCGTTGTGACTCGTGCTCAATCATCTAAATTCAGAGACATGGTGGATCTCTCTGAATCATTTTTGGTGTCGCCTGATGAATTTGTGGAAGATAAGATACCAGTAGAGCCAGAAGTTCGCCCTAACAGCGACAGTGCAGTTACATTTCCTTTTAAAGGTTGGTAAGGAGCAATTGGCTGCTGCACAGAGATTAGACCCCTCATTGGTAAAATGCATTGAAGCTGCTGTTCCCCTTAGTCAAGTGTCTAATGCTAAGCTAGCTTATTTCTGGGAAGATACGGTGCTCATGCGCAGGTGGAGGCGCAAGAATTCTTCCAAATTGTATTGCCAGCTGGTTACAGAGAGCAGGTGTTAAAACTGGCTCACAAACTTGTGCTGTCAGGACACTTGGGTGTCAAAAAAACCTTTCACCGAGTTCCACGGTACGTTAATTGGCCCAGATTAAAATCTGATGTATCTAACTTTTGTAGATCGTGTCCTGTATGTCAATTGGCCGGGAAACCCAACAAAAATATACCAGTTGCGCCTCTGCAGCCAATACCGGTTACGAGAGAACCTTTTGAGCAACTCCTTGTTGACTGTGTGGGTCCGGTGCCCAAATCTAAGTCAGGACACTAATATATTCTAACAATCATGTGTACCGCCACACGTTTCCTAGAAGCGATTCCTGTACGCTTGATTAAATGCAAAGTCATCATTAAAGAGTTGGTGAAGTTCTGCCTCACCTTCGGTCTGCCCCGTGTTGTGCAAACTGACCAAGGGTCAAACTTTACATAAAAGGCATTCACACAGACCCTTGCTGAGTTAGGGGTTAAACATCAGCTTTCAAGCGCGTACCACCCTGAGTCACAGGGCGCGCTTGAAAGATTTTATCAAACCCTTAAATCAATGTTGCGCTCCTACTGCATAGCCAATGGGAAGGATTGGGCTGAGGGTCTTCCATACCTTATATTTGCTGCCCGTGAAGCAGAGCAAGAGAGACTTGGGTTTAGTCCGGCTGATCTTGTTTTCGGCCACACTGTGCGTGGTCCTTTGAAGTTGCTAAGTGAGCAATTATTAGCTAAAGACTCTTCGCCTGTGACTGTACTTGACTATGTTAGCACTGTTCGTGAGCAATTGTATAAGGCCTGTGTAGCGTATGGACCAATCAGACTCACCGTTTTTCATTAGATTTAACAAATCAATTATTCATTAGATTAACAAATAGTCACAGACCCCTCACCCAATAAACATACTGGGTGCCAGGATGTCTGCGAACGACACCAGGCCCCTGGTCACCATGGCAAACACGACACCTTTTGCTAGACCAGATACATCACACTTGAGGTTGTTCATTGTTTGCTCATAACCGCAGTCCCTAATCATGCAAATTTTTGCTACATGCTCTGTGTAGTATTGTACAGTAAATTATTTCCCTTAACCAGGAAATTAACGGTGTTAGAATTGACAGACAGTTGACCCTGAGAGGTCAAGTAAATACTTACAGCGGATCTAAATATTTATAATTAATTATAACTAGTTATGATTAATTAT